AACAACAACAACAATCCTCCTCATCTGCGTGTGGATCTTTGGGGACATAATTGTGCTGTTTGCATTAGTGATCACCCCTCGACTTTCTTTCCATTCCAAGGCCCTTTGCTTTCTTTTCTTACCATGATGCACTGACTAGACACTCTAGTGTGATGTGCAATAGAAGTGTTTATGTTGCAGCATTATTTTTTCCTTCCCAATTTTGGGAAAGAAATTTACCACAAGGCATGCTTTTCACTGAAGGTTTCTTGGCAAGCCACAGTTCTCTCAGATTGAAGTAGCTCTGTCTTGCGTCACAGCCCCATCTTCAAACGTTATAGTTCTGCTGGATTTTTTTTTTTTTGGTGGAGGTGCCGGGGAACGAGTTCTGCTGGATTTTGAGCTCTGAAAAATGTATATATTACTTCCAGAAAACTATGTTGCTGAACTTCTTATTTGGTGTGTACGGCAGTGATTCACCACCGTTCATTTCTCATGGTATCCCGTTCTGAATAGGCCATTGTCTGGGCATGCATTCAACAGGGGCCAGGCAGATAGCATGGCTTGGGGCACGGGGCTTGGGGGTGAGGTTGCACGATGCTGGGGGGCAGGGGAGAGCTGAGTAGTTCAAGCTCTGATTAAAGGACTGGTTTGTGCACAGTTCTAACTTATTCTGTATATATGTCTTTATGTTTTTATTATTATTCTTTGTGCGTGTGTGTGTATGTGTGTGTACCATCAACTCGGAGCTGACTGATATAGGAGGAGATTGTCCCTCCTTCTCCAGCAGAGCACCTGGTCGATTCGAACTGCTCACCTCTGAGATTGCAGTGCAGATTCTTGCCACTAAGCCACCAGAGTCATATGTCTAGCATTGCCGTTTTTCTGGCATCTCACAGACGCCATGCATCTGTGACATTTTTATTTGAAATCTCTTTCCATATTGGGGTTAAAGTTGCATAGTCCCAGGAACTCTAGGTCAGTATATAAATGCACTTGAAGGAGGTGATATTTCACAAGCTCGTTAACCCGCTTACTTGCTGTCAAGTAATTTCTGACTCACAGCAACCCCGCAGGATGGAGCAGAGGTTTGCACGGTTGTGAATCTCAATAGAAGCACATTGCCTCCGCTTTTTCCCTTGGAGCAGATTTGAACCACCGACCTTTCTGTTAGCCTCCTCAGTTAACTTAATCCACTGTGTCTCCAGGGCTCCTTATAAATTCATTAGCATTCGTTAATCAACCATTCAACTTACTGTCTGGTAGATGCTGTGCTAACTGATGATAAAAGAATTGACACTCACAGCCTGTTAGGAGCTTGTCATGCATCGGAAAGGCAGGTGTGTGCCTGTCACCTCTGCAGGTAACTGGGATGGAATGGAAAGATAAGGTTTGGGGTAGATAAGAAGACAGATCAGACAAGGCTCCCCACACCGGAGATGTGTCTGTGGGTCACTGTCCAGCGTGAGAAGCAGAGCATGTGGATTATTCTGTTAGGAAATAGAGACTCTACAGACGTGGGAGCCCTGGGGGTGGGGATGTGGGAAGAGGGTGGCAGAGGCAGGAGGAGTTCCTCGCTGGCCTCCTGAGCTCTGGTCTGAGGGGACAAATGCCCCTTGCAGGGAACCCGAGAAGTCCGCTCAGCTGCTGAGTTAGCAGTGGGGAGCTCACAGCCAGGCCTCTGGGGACCCAGATGGGCAGTCAGCTTAATCAGTAGCTAGAGGATGACCAGAGGCAGCGTGGGGGGGGGGCACGGGCCAGCTGGACCCTGCTGTGGACCCCAGTTCTCAGACCCCGTGTCTGAACTCGGCGACCAAGAGCCCCAGCCGCTGCTTCCCTGCCACGCTCCCAGTCACACACAAGGCCCTCTTCTGATCAGCTGAACCCCCTGGAGAACGGGGTACAGTGGAACTGTCCCGAGCTCACCAAGCTGTTCTGCACAACGCAGCACGTGAGGACTGAACTTTAAATACGGGAAGAGATGAAGCCTAACCTCTCTTCACCTCACTGGTCAGGAGGTGAGATGACCTTTGCCGGGAGCAGACCGTGAAGCGCCCGCTTGCACGCCCTTCCTCCTGAGCCGCTTGTGGGCCCTCACTCATCTGCCTTTGAAGTCATCTGCCTCCTCGACCACAGTAATAGTGTGACAGCTCTCCATGCTGCAGAACGAGGCACTGCAGATTGTACACCGATTACAAAAGCCCACCTGGTAAAGCACTTATTGTATAGCCCTTTTAGGATAAACCAATCTAGCCAAGTCCCATAGTAAAAACGAGACTAAAATAATTCTGAGAATGAAAAACTGTCATCCGTTTTCTAAATGAGTTACTTGATCCCAAAGAAGGACAGTTTTTAATCACTAGCCTCATGGGTAGACGTGCGGATGCCAGGACCTCTTGCTGTTGGATAGAGAGGAGTTCCACCACTCATGGCCGCCTCACCACGGCCAGACACTGCTGTCCGTAGTCACAGGTTAGAGAAGGGTCAGACGAGATAACCATATGAAAAAGGAAGTGACAAGACCGAGATGTGAACTCGGGTTGGAAACTTGGAGAGAGACATCTGGAAGCTGAAAAATTTCCAAAAGTGGGCTGCCGTGTTGTTCTGAGATGGACAACTACAGCTGCATTAAAATGGGGATCAGGGCTCAGCGTCTACACTGCAGTGAGGATCAGGGCTCCATGTCTACACTGCAGTGGGATCAGGGCTCAGCGTCTACACTGCAGTGGGATAGGGCTCAGCGTCTACACTGCAGTGAGGATCAGGGCTCAGCGTCTACACTGCAGTGAGGATCAGGGCTCAGCGTCTACACTGCAGTGGGATCAGGGCTCAGCATCTACACTGCAGTGGGGATCAGGGCTCCGTGTCAGCGTCTACACTGCAGTGGGGATCAGGGCTCAGCGTCTACACTGCAGTGGGGATCAGGGCTC